GTTCATAGATTTGGATACATTCTGCAGATAAGTTTGCATATATTTGAGCATATTACAGTCCAGATGAAATAAATAAATGAACAAGACGAGCAAAGTACTGAAAATTTCAGAACCATGTCAAGGAGGCCTTCTTGCCTGAGGTTATAATATGCAAATATGTCATTGTTAACTACACCTTTGTGAGACAAGCAGTAGTTTGCAAAACGCTCATCGAGGTGCGCCTAGGCGGCTTTTGAAGGCAGGGGCGATGATGTTAACGCGAATGCCCATCGGGAGTAGGCTTAAACGCCCTGGCTTTTGGAGAGCCGGGGCGGTGATGAGGAATAGTCGTACTATCAGAATTTTGGTGAGCAGTCAGTAGCGTCCCCGAGATCATGGTCGTGGCACTTTAGCCGTTAAGCATCCGCCGGGTCCAGTTCCATCTTTTGAGACATGATTATTTGGGCTTGCTGATTTTCTGTCTCACCATTTTATGATTTCCTCCAAATTCAAAGTAAAGAAACCATAGCCAAAAGGAACTACTAGCATTCTAGGAAAGCGTAACGATGAGATTATTTATGCTTTATATTTAATTTTCGGCCCTCCCTAGCTTCGAATCCTTAGCTCCGCCCCTAAAAGAGAGCTAATGAAATTCGTAGAGGGCCTCAGGGGAGACCATTGACCAAGAAGTGATGTAAAATATTAGTATAGCATTAGATAGTTTTGAACTCAACAACGTTACGCTATGAATAAAGGAATACATAGAATTAAACATAGGAAAATTTTCTTCGTAACGTCTGAGATTTTTCAAAAAATGATTAACATCTTCATTCTCCTCCCACCGCTCCCACAAGTGAAATGCCATCATGAAATGCCTAAATCCGCTTACAAGGCAAGGTGTTAATTTTCACTTAAAAATCCCAAGTGCGACAAAAATGCTTTCCAACTAACTTCGGGAAATTTGGTGATAAATCACATCATCCGAAACCTTGCCTATCTAACAATTTAGCACTTACATGTTTGTCTAATTAGATTTGCACTACCACTTAATATTATGGTTTAGCGGTATTTTTTTTTAATTTGTAATGAGATATTTTAGGTTCGATTTTCGTTAAAGGCGAATATAAACCACATTATTATGGTTAACCCACAATGTGACTTAACTCACTCCCTCACCTCTTAGTGTAGATAATGTTGCTTGTATTTATAAAAAATAATAATTAGTTGCACTATTTTCTTCTTTGTTTCTGTTTTGCTTCCAAGTTAGATTTCAAGTTTCAACCACCATAATGAGTACGGTTGGTTTTTTAAATAAATAAATTCATGTTTTTGAGCCAAGAGAAGGGCAAGAGTAAAAAAGTTCGATCTTAAGTACTCAGCCAATATATACCAAATTTACTGAGAATATAATATTGGTACATGAGTACATACTTTGAGCTTTACGACCTTCATTCGAAATCTTTGTAAACAATTTCATGACATTTTCATACTTTAAGAAATGGCTTTGAGAGATAAATTCTTAAGTAGTAAGTATACAACTTTCACATACCATAAGTCTCATGTATAAAGTAACAATGTACTTATAGAAATGTGGTTGCTTAGGAAACTCAGTGGGACAAAACCAAGCAAAGGAGAAAAATCGAGGCAAATTGGTGGACATCCAAGGAGAAGTGTTGTATATATTATTCATTATGTGGTTGTTCACTTTCTAGGTTAATAAGTAATATCTCAATAATTGAACACCTTTTTATGTAAATCATATACTAATAAATAGGCACTCTAATAAGAAGGAAATGACACCTAGATTTCTCCTCCCCATTTCTATATCGTCCCTCTATTCTTTGTTAATAAAGAAAAAAAAAAACGAGAGACAGTCGTGCTGATAACGTGTTGAAAACAACTAAGGTAATAAAAATAATTTTCTCACCAATTAACTTCAATATCACTTGTTTTCTCTTCATTGACTTATTTTAGAACATAAAATGTGACATCCCACATCGCCCAGGGGAGTGATCCTTAAATGTATATTCCCATCCTTACCTAGCACGAGGTATTTTGGGAGCTCATTGGCTTCGGGTTTCGTAGGAACTCCGAAGTTAAGCGAGAAGGGGGCTAGAGCAATCTCATGATGGGTGACCCACTGGGAAGTTGCTCGTGAGTTCCTAAAAAACAAAACCGTGAGGGAATGGTAAGCCCAAAGCGGACAATATCGTGCTACGGTGGTGGAGCGGGCCTGGAAAGTGATTCGTCCCGGGCCGGGATGTGACAATTGGTATCAGAGCCTAACCCTGGCCGCGTGTGTGCCGACGAGGACGTCGGGCCCCTAAGGGGGGTGGATTGTGACATCCCGCCCAGGAGAGTGATCCGATCCTTAAATGTATATTCCCATCCTTACCTAGCACGAGGCCTTTTGGGAGCTCACTGGCTTCGGGTTTCGTAGGAACTCCGAAGTTAAGCGAGAAGAGGGCTAGAGCAATCCCATGATGGGTGACCCACTGGGAAGTTGCTCGTGAGTTCCCAAAAAACAAAACCGTGAGGGAATGATAAGCCCAAAGAGGACAATATCGTGCTACGGTGGTGGAGCGGGCCCGAGAAGTGATCCGCCCCGGGCCGGGATGTGACATAAAATATTTATCAACCCAATCTTAGTATTAAATATCTTTTATAATCTTGTATATTTTGCATAATTGAAGTTATTCCTTTAACTCACGTACATACATTTTAGTACAACTTAGAAATTAAAAATTGTGTCTAATTCAATGAAATTAAAATTTGTTTTATTTCATGTGTTAGCTAGACAATATATGATTGTCAAATGCTAAGGGTAGTTAGGTAAACATTTCGTTTTTAGTTTTCACTTTTTGTGTTTGAAATACGAGAAAACATATGATGAATAAGAGATTAAGCATATGGATGAATAAGGGATTAAGAAAACAATTTTTTTTAAAGTGAAAATAATTTTACATAGCTTTTTAACTTTTGGTTTTCATTGTGTGTACCTTTCTTTGTAAGGTTCTTCTACATTTATCTCGTCATTCTTCCTCCACTCGTATCTCTCATTTCTCCTTGATCTCCAATGCAAAGACATATTCATGAATAATATGAATCCTTATAAATTAGAACTACATAAAAAATTACAACGAATCATGATCAATCGCAAAACAATAAGCATACTTTACTCATTTCGTTGAAAGTCGAACTCATTAAGAACTGCAACATTAAAAGGATTAATAAAATCGCTAAATTCCGATTTCCATATTCCATCCATTTTTGTCTGCATGCCTCTCTTACAGTGTAGGCAAGTGAAGTAAGCAAAACTGTACAATACAGACTTATGTGGCATGTTGCCTGCCGTAGAAATTTTGGTCCCTCCATTAGACTATGCAAATCAAGTCGGCAATATTATATTGTTATGTAAAAGAGATGTGGGACCTAATTTGCCTATTCACTTCAAGTGCGCAAAATTTCTTACTCAATGCAGGAAGCAAATTTGTTCTTATACGGCTCTCCACCATTGGATGCTCTTATACAAAGTTTTAAGAGAATTTTAATGAAAAATTTTAGATACTGTTACAAAGTCAATCATAATATTATTTATTTTATTATTTATTTTATCTTTATCGTTAAAATTTAAAATTTTTAAACTTTCTTTATTAATTTTCGTAAATTTTTATTTCTGATCAATTCCATATCCCATCCATAAAATCCAGGCAAATTCCACCAATGAAATCCACTGATTACACACGTGGCAGCAGATGCAGCAGCCTAGTAAGTAGGGTCACAACCGCAAGGGACAACCTCGTCATACCATACCCCATCAGGGATACAACCGTCATTTCACTATCCAACAGGCTTCCATCATGATAGCGTGCCTCATGCCATAATCTTCCCCACATGCACACACCATATTAAGTCCTGACCTTTTCAACAACATCAACGGCCCAGATCAACAGCTCCAGTGCGTCCACAAGGTAATAAACAATTCCCAGAAGCACTGTATTACTCCTCGCAAATTAGAACCAAACGATGTCGTATGAGGTGGATGCTAAAGTACGCCGAACGTGAAACAAGCGGTTTGCGTCCGAATCTCGCTGTAGGATACGCCGTTGGTCGGGTAACGGAAACACGGGGAGTTGGTCTTTAGACCAAAAAAGTCAACCGTTAGGGGCACAATGGTCATTCGCATCAGTCTCAAGTGGGGTTCAATTAAATAAATTCAGACAAATAAATAAAACTAAACAATTTGGGATTAAGTTAATAAAGTTATTAGTTGGTGAACTGGATTGAATAAAGAGTTGAAGTCCGGACCACCTCACAGAGAGAGAGAGAGAGAGAGAGAGAGAGAGAAGACGTTGATCTGGTTGTTCTGATTATCTGGTGTTTGGATCGCAGCTTTTAGAAGTACTGAATCATCACTTGTCTCAGATGTTTGTTTAGATTCCTGGACCTTTTCTTTTCTGTTTGTTTCTCGCGAAAATTTGCAGGCCCACCTGGTTTCATTTCTCTTATTGTTGGATTTACAAGGTACGTTTTTTCTGGGTTCTTACCTTTCTGTTCCAATAGGGTTTCTGATTTTGTGGGTTTTGTTCGGTTGGTGGGTTGTAAATCTCTTATGGATAATATCTGAATTTTCATTTTTTGTTCTGTTTTTAATTCAGGGGGTTTGCAGCTCCACATTTTTATGTGCTTTCTGCACTAATTTACTTAATTTTCATTTTTTTTTTTGTATTTTTTGTTGGCCTTACATCATCTACTTTTGAATTTTCAGTAAACGGAAAATCAGCAAATAAAAAGCAAATTTTTGATGGTTTTTACCTTCAATTTTTGGGTGTTTGTGTTGTAGTATTTGTATTTGCAGTATCTCTACGAGAAGGTTTAATCCTTGCAAGTTCACTGATCTCCGAAAGCCTTAGCGGTGAAGCAATGTATCTTTGATCAGTGCCAACCTTTTCACATTCAGTTTTTTGGAATTCTACTTTGGTGGTTTTAGGGTTTGCTCTCTCTCTCACTCTCCCTCTCTAGATATATATATATATATATATAGTGTGTGACTTATGAAGCTAACTCTTAGTTGAAGGATTTACGTTTAACTTCTAGGTCAACATAAATTAGAACTCTTTTTTCTTTTTATTCAGGTTACATCTATCATTTGGGTTCATATTTCAGAATCTGGGTTTTGTTTTCCGAGGTTCATTTGGTTTAGACCGTACAAATAGGGATTTCGGTTTGAAACTGGTTTGAATTAGTTGTAGTTTGGTTTGTAGAAGATCAGCTTTAAACCCTGCCACCAAAAGATGTATCTGATTAAAGTTTGATACTTTAGGCTGCTTTAAGTCCATGTGTGAAAGTGAGACTTTATTCAATGAGAATCTCCTTTCCTTCCAGTGCTTTTCTCAGTCTGTCTTCTTCCTTAATTTTTTTTATTTTTTTTAGTACATCGAAATTTTTACACTAAGGGAGGGGGAGTGCGGCAAAGCTACACAATGGGCAGCCTAATTTGGTATCAAATTTGCCATCCACGAGATTCGATCCTAAGATCTTTCACTTACAAGTTAAAGAGGAATAACACGAAATCGTAGTACTGGCTGACACCTTTTTTTTTCTATTTTACTCTCTGTTATTAAGCTTTCCGGCAGGAATTTAAATCTTGCTTACGGCAGGAATTTAAATCAATGTTTGATTAATTTGCAGCTGAACCCACACTTATAGTTTTGGGGCAGCCCCCTTGAAGTGGATATACTTAACATCTGGGTCTGTTGGCACGTCAGAGTAAATGTCATTCCGCAGTATAGTTCGCGATGTAAGAGATGGGTTTGGAAGTTTATCAAGACGGAGTTTTGAGGTGAGGCTGCCTGGTCATCACAGGGGGAAATCACATGGTTCAGTCCATGAGGTGCATGACCAGCATTTGGTAATCCAAACTAGCCCTTGGGCTAGCCTGCCTCCTGAACTACTGCGCGATGTAATAAAAAGATTGGAGGCTAGTGAGAGTACGTGGCCTTCTCGCAAGCATGTTGTTGCTTGTGCTGCTGTGTGCAGTTCATGGAGGGAAATGTGCAAGGAAATCGTCAGAAGTCCTGAATTTTGTGGAAAGATTACCTTCCCAGTCTCCTTGAAGCAGGTGAGAAGTTCTCATTATTGTATTGCTTATAACATGGACTTTGTTGATAAAAGTCAAAATGCCCAAATATTTTTCTTTTAATCTTGTTACCCTGGTTTTTCTGTTTAAGTTATTTGTGTCGGCATTTATCCACTTAGATGCTCTCTTTTGAAGAACGATGTTTATGCCTTCTTAAAAAGGAAAATGATATTTATGATATCTGGTAGCTGAAACGTTGTTGAAATCTCTGCCTTTCACAGCCAGGATCTCGGGATGGAACCATCCAGTGCTTTATCAAGAGGGACAAGTCTAATTTAACTTACCACCTTTTTCTTTGCCTTAGCCCTGGTAAGATTCTCTTTAGATGGTTTTGTTGGCGCATAACGTTCAATTTGACATTTCATGTTCTGTGGTTGTTTGGATGATCAACTCCAAACTATTCTGTGTATAGTATTGTGAATATCTTTTGGTTATGCATTGCCATTGCACCAAGTTTTCTTATAAATCTTGTAGTGATCAGGGTGTTTTTATTTTTTATTTTTTTATAAATTACTAGTGTCTCTTTTCCTGCTGTGTGTTTTTCTGGCCTTGCAAATCATTTACTTGTGCACTTTGTCCCTATTTTCCGATGACTAGTGCATCCAAGGCCCTAAAGCCTAGCTAGGTGGAGAGGTCTACCGATACCTCACTAGTTCTAAGTTCTAATTTGGTTCTGCCAGTCATGCTGTCCTGCATCAAGACATGTTCTTGTCATTGAGGTTATTAGCATGTGCAAGGCTGAAAGCTTATTTTGATGCTTAGTGGTTGACCATCGCCGTAGAATTAATACATAAACAGTTCACTTATCCCTCTTTATAATGCAATAAGAATTATCTACTTCTCCCTATGTGTTTTTTTTTTTTCAACGTAAACCTGCTGCCCTTACCCTACTTTGCCACAGTTGCATAACAAAATCTTTGTCAGCAAAGGTTGAATATCATAACTCGACCTTGAACTTCATTGACAAACATCTTTCCTTTATTGCATTACTGCATTCGAGTTTACTTTAGGCTGTTCTCTTGATCAATGCCATGCCCTTGCAGCTTTGCTTGTTGAAAATGGGAAATTTCTTCTTTCTGCAAAGCGGACGCGGAGAACTACTTGCACAGAGTATGTGATCTCCATGGATGCTGATAACATTTCAAGATCAAGCAACAAGTATATTGGGAAATTAAGGTGGGTTTTCTTCAACTTTCTTTTTAGCTGTAAGTATCTGTGCTGAAATTCATCTATTAGCAACTCTTTAAAAAACAACAATGTGAACGACTTAAAAACTTAAAAGATGTGTCATTGTTAATTCCCCAAAAAAGAAAACGTCATTGTGCAAACAATTTTTTAAACTTTGGTGTGAAATTGGAACTGAGAAAGTGGCCTTATTTTAAACTTATTGCGCAGATTTGAGGGATCTAGTCTAAAGAAATGAATGGCCTTGTTTTAAACATAATGCGCAGATTTGAGGGATCTAGTCTAAAGAAATGAATCGTCTTGGTATTTATGCTTCTTTGGTTGCATTAGAATTTCATTGCTACACCTTAAATTTAAATGAGATTTCAATGTGAATAACACTGAAATTGGTGCATTCTGACCATGGATTTGGATAAATCGCAAGGGTTTTCTTGCTATCTAGTGTTTTGGAGCAAGGAACTTGTAAGATTGTCTTCTATGTACTAAAAAGAATGAAGAATGTGAATGTGCTGAAGAAGATTGTTCTAAGATTATCGTCTCTAGCATATTTTCATTTGACATTACTATCATCAGTATATTTCTTAGCTTGTAGGAATTTAATAGCAAGTATCAACTTGTTTATATTAGGGGGCAAAATCACATATTTGACAATTTTAAGTAGAAAGTTCCCTCCCATGTATTTGCTGTTCTCTATAAACCTTTGATTTCAGCCCACTTTCCATGATCGATTGAACTCTACTTATATCAGTCCGTTTAATTAGTAATGTATCAACTTCACATCAATTGTCTTGTCACTCATTTGAATCATTTTTGCCGCTTTGCATGCCATCCAAAATTGGTGCTTTCTAAGTTCTCGTGGATGTGTATATGTTCATGCTTAAATCAATTTATTCTTATATGGTTGACATGTTTCTTGAATTTTTAGCAGTTCGTAGTATTGAAAACATAGCTAAACAAATCAATTTACTGGTATACTACATATAAAAGTCCTTATTCAATATCTCCCTGGAACCTTGATTTCACCTGGTTTACAGACTTTAAGACTAATGGGCATCTTCCATTCCCCTTTTCCCCATATTTTTCAGGTCTAATTTTCTAGGCACCAAATTTATTATTTATGATACCCAACCTCCCTACAACAGTGCTCAGCTTCCCCCACCTGGGCGAAGCCGCCGGTTCTACTCTAAAAAGGTTTCTCCCAAGCTCCCCACCGGTAGCTACAACATCGCACAGGTGTCGTACGAGTTAAATGTGCTTGGCACAAGAGGGCCACGGAGGATGCACTGCACCATGCACTCAATCCCGGCTGCATCCCTTGAGCCTGGTGGCATTGTCCCTGGCCAGCCTGAGATTCTCCAACGCTCCCTTGAGGACTCATTCCGAAGCATTTCCTTCTCAAAATCAATTGTTGATTCAAGTGAGTTTAGCAGTGCACGATTCTCTGATATAGTTGGGGCCCATTGCGAAGAAGATGGAAAGGAAAGACCATTAGTTCTTCGGAACAAGGCACCAAGGTGGCATGAACAGTTGCAGTGTTGGTGCTTAAACTTCCGGGGAAGGGTGACAGTTGCCTCGGTCAAAAACTTCCAGTTAATAGCGGCTGCACCTTCTGCTGCTGGCGCGCCAACACCATCTCAACCACCACAGCCAACCTCTTCTGACCACGACAAGGTCATACTTCAGTTTGGTAAGGTTGGGAAGGATATGTTTACTATGGATTACCGGTATCCATTGTCTGCGTTTCAGGCTTTTGCGATCTGCTTGAGCAGTTTCGACACCAAATTAGCATGTGAATAGAGAGAAATTATGGCAAGAAATAGAAAGCGTAGTTGGTAATTCTTTTTTCATCATTTTCTAGCTTCTCATATAGATTGTTGTTGTTGTATGATGACATTGTTAAATCTCATAGCAGACTGAAGTGCAGAGCAACAGAAGTGCACACTGCATGAGGCCCTCTGTTTTTTTTTTTTTTTTTTTTTTTTTTAATTTTCTTATTAATGTTTATTATATTGTTCTGTTTTTTTCTTTCTTTCTTCTTGTGTTTTTCTTTACAAATTTTCTTTTTTGTTAAAGACTATTGTTTTATTATATATGCTTTGGAAAGAAAAATTAATTGAGAATCAAGAGATAAAAATAAGGGCAAGTTGTAAGAATGCTCACATTTTGACATTTGGTTCGGTTGTAGAAATGATCTGTTTCTAGTAAAAACCGCATATTGATCATAGGAGGTGGATTGTTTGCCTTTTCATTTCTATACTCTTCTCATGCCATCCTATAATGTGTGGTCATGGTTAAGCTACGTTAACATTTTATATTAATTTTTTATAGAAATAATAAAACAAAAAGTAATAGAAATATAAAATGTTGACGTGGTTTAATCGTGTACACATAAACAAGAGGGGATCGGAAGAGTATGGAAATGGTAGGGTAGACAATCCACCTCCTTGAACATATTGATGAAACAATGATAATAAAGTAATGACATGCAAAATTGATCATTTCTGTAATTAAATGTTAAAATTTGATCATTTGATCGAATGAATGGAAGATAATTAAACAATAGATTTGAGCAAATATGCATAAAATGTAAAAGAAGAAGGTGTGTGGATAGCAACACGTTACGAGGGCTATGAAATGAGGTATAAATACCACCTAAAAAAAAGAATTTTTACGAAAGGTTTTTTGTACTGTTCATTTTAACGAAAAATCATATTTTTACACTAAAAATCAATCTAATATTATTCATTTTACTCTTTATTTTGTTTTCATCGTTAAAAATCAAAACCTTCTAATTTTTTTCATTAGTTTTTTCTAAATATATATAAATACTGGGGCCATCTGTTGTGAGCGGCTCAAAGTAACCAACCTTATGGCGCCATCTCTTGGGTTACCTCAAGTCTTACTATGGTCCTTCCCACATTGAATCTTCGTGTATATAAATCTACAAGCCCTACACTCTCCCTTCCCACTCTCACGTAGTTTCAGCCGCCGCTTCTTTCTCCCCCACACCCGCACGGCCTCTCTGTTTAGCCCTAAATCACCGATTTGGGGATTTGCCCTAATTTACCAATGTAGAATTACCCCCAAATCTCCCTTCTTTCATAGTTACGATTTTTGCTTTCAGAAATTCCCAATTTGTAGAATTAACCCTAAATTTCGTGTCTTTGATAGTTATGCTTTTTGTTTGGCGTTTGATGTTAAATGGGATTTGTGGGGGGAATGATGATACATGCACTGGGGCTTGAGCAGTTCAAAATCGCTTTCCATAGTTGCTCTGAAATTACTGTTTTTGGTAATGCTAGTTTGGATTGTTTAAGGTGTATTATATCTAAATGCATGAAATTTAAAATTGTGTTTTTGGGTAGATTTTCTGTTAACCATTGTTGTTGTTATCATGCATTCAACTAATCTTCATTGCAACGCAAATGAATGGTGGAGTTGTCATTCTAGGTTTGCTGGTTTGGGATTTTGCAGTAGTGATATTTCTGTGCTAATTTTTGGATGCCTAATGATGGAAAACTCATTTTCTGAGCGGTTACGCGGGTTATTGTTACGAGCTTTTTGTATCATTTTTGCTGTACTAGTCTCTCTCTCTCTCTTTCTCTCTCTTTCTCTCTTTCTTTCTGTCTGTCTGTCTTTATGGCTTGTACAGTTGAAGATGTGAAAAGGCTCATGGTGATAATCCCGCAGATGACTGTCTATGACCAGATATAGCTATGAGATCTGAAGGCTTGTTTGCAGGCATTTTCTTTTCGCAAACAGATGTGTGTTGAATTTTCAGTTGTTTTGTTTCGTTAATGATTTCAGTAAATGTATTCTTACTATTGTATTGATCTGAAGTCTTCTGTTAATAGAAAACCGAAGAGCACTTTTGGCGTTGCGGTATTTTACCCCTATAAAAAGATTATTGGAGATTGTTTTCGTTAGAAGATGGTTATAGATTTTTGATTTAATTTATCTTCTGGTTCAAATATGATGCTCAGTGATGGGAGAATTGAAAACCTAAACAGTTGTAAGCGTGGTTGGTTTTTCCTTAGCCCGTACTGACCACAAGCACCACCTCTCTCTCTCACTACAACAAACAACAACCAAACCTTATCCCACTATGTGGGGTTGGCTGGATGAATTCTAGAACGCCACTACGCTGGGTTTTGCATCAAGTCTTCCGTTATCTCTCTCCTACATATAAATATATACATACATTAACACGTGGTGCATTGTGGAGTATGAAGGCTTTTGAGGAACGCCACTAGCCGTGAACTGTAAATGACTCATTCAAAGGTGTGAGATCTGAGGGCACAAACCTTTGAAGTAGTGATGCTTGTGAAGTTATTTTTCAAGGTTAGAGCACGAGCCTTTGGTGTAGTAATGTTGTGCTAATGATGAGTTATATTCTGTATCAAGTCTTTCTTTTTCTTGAATTATTTTGGGTCATTACCATGTTCTCTGATATTGCTTTTTTGCCGCTTCTGAAAGGTGGTTCAGTTTTTATTTGCCTAATGATGGAAAACTCATTTATGGAGCGGTTCTGTGGATTGTTATTAGGAGCCTTTTCTATCATTTTGCTGTAGTAGTGGCCGTCATCATCAAGACCACCATCCTCTCTCTCTCCCTCTCTCTCTCTCTCCCCCTCTCTCTCTCTCTCTCTTCTCTCTCCCTCTCTGGCTTGTATGGTTGAAGATGTGAAAAGGTTCATAGTGATAATCCACAGTTAACTAGCAATGACCAGATATAGCTATGAGATCTGAAGGCTCTTCAGTTTATTTGTTTATTTAAGACATGCATGTTGAATTTTAAATTATTTTTGTTCCTTTAGTTATTTCTATAGGTCATTGCAGCATTGTAGACATTATCTTTGGTTTAACTGAAGAGCACTTTCGGCATTGCAATATTTGATTACTATAAATGTACTGTTACTTTTGTATTGATTTCAAATTTTTTGTTAATAGAAAACCAAAGAGCACTTTTGGCATTGCAGTATTTTTGTATATAATGCGAGCTCCCTTCAGACTCACACTGCTTGTAGATTGTTACATATAAAGCTAATAAACCGTCGTTTGGAAAAAAAATTCATTGTTACCGAGTGCTTTTATTTCCTACAAAACTATTATTGTAGATTGTTTTGGTTGAAAGATGGTTATACATTTTGATTTACTTTATCTTCTGGTTCAAATATGATGCCCAGTGATGGAAAATTGAAAACCTAAAGAGTGGCAAGCGTGGTTGATTCTTCATTATCCCGTACTAACCACAAGCACCGCCTCTCTCTCTCTCTCTCTCTCTCTTTCTCACTCACTCTCTCTCTCTCTCTCTAATATATATATACATGCACACATACATACATTGGTGCTGCATTGTGGAGTATGAAGGCTTTTGAGGAACGCCATTTGCCATGAACTGGAAATGACTTATTGCTATGTGATCTGAGGGCATTTTCATAGAACTCACTATTTTCAATTACCTATTTGGGATTTATCCTTCCATGCAGTCCAAATTTTGCGCCGCAAGTTATTTTGACCCCGCATGTGTGTTTGGGGCCCAAATTTTGTTTCTTTCATAATTATGCTTTTTATATGGGCTGATTGTCTGTACTGTTCTTGTTTCAAACTGTTGTTTCATAAAAACCTTGTATTTTTCTTGACTTGGTTATAGGCCTTTGATTTTAAGTTGTTTTGATGATGGTTTATTATCATTTGTGGTAGAAGTTTATAATGGCATAGTTCTGAGTGGAGTGCTTGTTTAATTGGCAGTTGGGTCCGGGTTATAACTGTTATGTGAGTGTGGGGAATGATGGTACATGCAGTGGTATCTGGGTAGTTTGGGATTGCAATTGTCAATGGAAATGCAGCCTAGAATGCTATTTATGACCCCTGGAGTAATTGTACTTTGGGGTTGGAGTATATTTCATGTTATTATTGTCATCATTCAATTAAATAATTGTGTCGCAATGGAAATTACTGGTCAAGTTATTTATGACCCCTGAAATAGTGATGTTGTGCTAATGAGTTACACTGTCTATAGTCTTTCTTTTTCTTGAATTATTTTGGGTCATTACCATGTTCTTTGATATATCTTTTTTGCTGCTTCGGAAAGGTGGTGCAGTTTTTATTTGCCTAATGATGGAAAACTCATTCATGGAGCGGTTCTGTGGATTGTTATTAGGAGCCTTCTCTATCATTTTCCTGTACTAGTTGCTGTCACCATCAACACCACTCTCCCTCTCTCCCTCTCTCTCTCTCTCTCTCTCTCCCTCTCTCTCTCTCTCTCTCTCTCGCCCTCTCTCTCTCTCTCTCGCCCTCTCTCCCTCTCTTGCTTGTATGGTTGAAGATGTGAAGAGGTTCATAGTGATAATCCACAGTTAACTGGCAATGACCAGATATAGCTATGAGATCTGAAGGCTCTTCGAATTTTTTCCTTTTTTATTCTTTAGATATGCTTGTTGAATTTTAAATTATTTTTGTTCCTTTAGTTATTTCAATAGACATTTGCTTTTCTGGTCATTGCAGTATTGTAGACATTATCTTTGGTTTAACTGAAGAGCACTTTGGGCATTGCAGTATTGTGATTACTATAAATGCACTGTTACTTTTGTATTGATTTCAAATTTTCTGTTAATAGAAAACCAAATAGCACTTTCGGAATTGCAGTATTTTTGTATATAAGGCGAGCTCCCTTCGGAGTCAAACCGCTTGTAGATTGTTTCATATAAAGCTAATAAACCATTGTCCGGAAACTATTGTTGTAGATTGTTTTAGTTGAAAGATGGTTATAGATTTTTTAGTAACTTTATCTTCTGGTTCAAATATGATGCTCATCGATGGAAAATTCAAAACATAAATAGCGGTAGGCATGGTTGATTCTTCATTAGCCCGTACTAACCACAAGCACCACCTCTCTCTCTCTCTGTGTTATGGGATTGTGGGGAATGATGATACATGCAATGGTCTCTGAGCAGTTTATAAGTGCAATTGTCGTTGGAAATGCAGCCTAGAAAGCTATTTATGACCCCTGGAGTAATTATACTTTGGTGATGTTTCATGTTATTATTGTCATCATTCAATTAACTAATTGTGTTGCAATGGAAATTACTGGTCAAGATTTTTTTCAAGGTCAGATGTTAGTAAAGCGCAATCCCTTGAAGTAGTGATTCTGTGCTAATGGTGAGCTCTATTGTCTTTAGTCTGTTTCTTTTTCTTGAATTATTTTGCTGCCCCTCAAAGGTGGTTCAGTTTTTATTTGCCTAATGATGGAAAACTCATTTTTGGAGCGGTTCCGTGGATTGTTATTAGGAGTCTTTTCTATCATTTTTGCTGTACAAGTCGCCGTCGTCATTACCAACCCATCCTCTCTCTCTCTCTCTCTCTCACTCTCCTCTTCTTTCTTTTTCTCTCGCTCTCTCTCTCTGTGGCTTGTATGGTTTAAGATGTGAACAGGTTCGTTGTCATAATCCACGGCTAACTGGCAATGACCCGATATAGCTATGAGATCTGAAGGCTCTTAACAGGTTTTTCCCTTTTGTTTTCTTAAGATTTGCTTGTTGAATTTTAAATTTTTTTTGTTCCTTTAGTTATTTTTATAGACATGTTCTTTTCTTTGGTTTGCAGTGTTGTACACTTTATCTCTGGTTTAACTGGAGCATTTTGGGCATTGCAGTACAAATCTGTGTAATGTTTGTTGTGTTTTATGTTTACAAAGCGACGTGCTAAATTACTCTTTTTTTTATTCTTGCTTGTACGATTGAAGATCTGTTGAGGTTTATAATTGAGCTTGTGACCGTGATGACTAGATACATATTTTCATGGCTATTTGAATTTATTGCTATAGTTGTGTTGTATTGATTTATACATTCTCAATAGTTACATGTTTTACCCATTCAGTCGTACAGTCCATTCCTCTCAAAGGTGCCCTTGCAATGCTAATTCAACAAATTTTATGAGGCCTCGATCAACTGAAAATAGTTGTGATCTTATATGTGGCTTTGGTTTCTTTTCGCTTCGTTGGTGCAACAATGCGAAACTATGAAGTATGGTTTTTGCATATATGCTGCAGCATAGGTTTACACATTTGCCCAATGATCCAGACTCATGGTCTTGGGTATGCTTTTGATTTTCATTATGAGCATCTCCACTTCCTATATTTCTATCGTCAAGAGTAGCCATCTGCTCTTTATGTTGGTGGTGGTGTTTTAGTCAGGATACTGTTTATATTTAATTTTAAATAAAAAAAATTTTAAAAATTCTGACCGCACGATATATGATGTAACTTATGTGATTGGAAGATTATCGGGATCATCACAAAGAGGATCCGACGAGAATCCTCTCTCCACACGTCCCCCTCCATCCATCAATTCATTTAACAAATTGACCCATTCCAAAAGAGAATCAAATGCTCATGTTCCACTCAAGAGCTGAATGAATGAAAATGAAAGTTGCAATTTGTTTATCTTTGTTACCGTTTTCCCTTCTTTAACATGTGCTTAATTGTTTGAAGTGATCAAACTTAAATATAATATTTGATTGAGTGAATGATGGGTTTCTTTCTTTGTTTAGAAAGAGACACAAGCAGAAGTTAACTGCGTTTCACTCTACATCTTTGATGTGATTTTTCTAAATATTGAAATTGTATTAATTTATGAGAATTATTATTAGCATTTCAAAAATTTCATTCCACAAATCTCACAAATATATTTTTCTTTCTAATTATAGAAATTTTGAAGTGCTAAATGAGATTTTTGGAGTGCTAATAACAATTTCTTAATTTATTTCTACAATTTAATAATAATCTTTGATTTTTTATTAAATTGATGGCATAATAAGCACACTACTGATATTGAATTCATATTTAAATCACATTTGTAAGACACTAAGAAATAACTCATCAATATAATGAAAGAATAGATGCTTATTCAAGAGAATTTATCAATAATAATCAAAATTTAGCACTCACTTTCATAAATGTTATTTTTTTATAAAAATTTCAAATATAACAGAAAATCACATAAATAGATCTAATGCCCTCAAAATCCAAAATCCATTTACACAGAAAAACCAAAACAATTGAATAGATCTCCTCTGCACCTTTGTTTGAGGAACTATTGTCACATTCCAATCTCGACTTAGTCGTAGCACGATATTATCCGCTTTTAAGGAACGCCACTAGCTGTGAACTGTAAATGACTCGTTCAAAGGTGTGAGATCTGAGGGGCACGAACCTTTGAAGTGGTGATGCTTGTCAAGTTATTTTTCAAGGTTAGAGCACTAGCCTTTGGTGTGGTAATGTTGTGCTAATGATGAGTTACGTTCTGTATCAAGTCTTTCTTTTTCTTGAATTATGGGTCATTACCATTTGGTTTTGATGCTTTTGGATGTAAGTGATCTGGTTTTGGGGATAAGTTTATAGGCTGCACTTGCACTTACCATTTGGTTTTGTTTTTCAAGGTTGGATTCTCTATGTTCTGGTTCACATGTAAAAAACGATACATCCTGTTTATAGGCTGTACTTGCACTTGCACACACCAAAAAGACAATCACATTCACATGTAGAAAACGATATACCTTGTTTAATGTTGTGCTGTCTTTTACATGGTTGAAAATTGTTGCAATGCTTCTTTGTGAGTGATCAGTAACGTTAAGTACTGTGACATAATGCCTCATGATATTTTGAACAAGATAAGTGAAAATACCATGGAATTTCAAAACGATGGGATTTAGAAACACATGATTTAGATCCCCCAAGATTTGAAGATTTCTTGTTTGACTAACCTATTTAGAATAATATGATTTCACTGAATTTTTAATCTATTTACTCGTAATCTTGGATGCATCACTTTGTAAATATGAGTGGTTGGTGGAGTTTAAGTACCCCAAACTAAGGACTTTAGTAATGTCGTGACATCTTAAATCCATTCCTAGCTTCAAGCCCCATCTGAATCCCCCTATTCCAAATGCACCCTTAGTGTCCAGGTGTTTTTTGGTGTTGTTCGCACTATGTAATACGCAACATCTCCTGGGAAAAAAAAGAAGAAAAAAAAAAATACATAGCTTATCCTGAGTGTGGGTACCTGCACTTGAAACAAAAAGAATACTATACCCTGTGTTAATTATTCTGGCATAAATGGATCTAGTCTGAGACAGCGGCCATTGCTATGGCAGACAGTAGGGGAAAGAAAAAAAAGCAAGAGACCACAACATCTGCAGCTGAAGCTGGGTTTTCTATTAGTAGGCTTGAAATCTGCGTTGGCCTCGTTACTAAAGCTGAGAAGCGTCCTGATGCTGATTCACTTTACGTGGAGGGTACTAATGTTGGTGAAGGACAAACCAGAACAGTGGTCAGTGGACTGGTCAAATACACACCTCTCGGAAAAATGCAGGTTTGTGCTTCCATCTACCCATTTTTTGGAATACGAAGTTAGTATCAATTTATGTCAACGTTTATTCGTATTGATTGTTCTATGGCAGAACAGGAAACTATGTGTTCTTTGCAAACTGAAGTCAGCAAACATGTGGGGTATTAAGTCACAAGCAAACGGTTCTTGCTGCTTCGAACAGTGATCCCACCAGATTAAGCAGCCCCGTATGCCCTGAATTAGTATTTGCATCTTAATTATGCACTTTTCCTACGCTACTCATCACTGAAACGATTTTATGCTAATGATTAACCATACCCTATGAGTGATACCAAACAAAGGAGTCTGCTAATATGTATTGATAGTATTTTTAACGTCTATGCAAATAGGGTCAAAATTACATGAAATACTTGCAAGAATACAAGGATGTTGTAGTATAGATGCTCATGCAAGGTTGTTCTCCTCCAGGACTATTTGGATCATTTATGTAAAAACAATTTCTAATTAAATGCTTATAGTTAAAAATAGAGAAAAGAGATTCTGAAATTGGGTAATATTAAAAACGAAGTTTAATTAAGAACTAATATGACAAAAGAAAAGAGTTTTAAATACCAATTTATAAAAGTACTAGGGTTCTACCATCACCTAACAATCCTATGTACTTTTACCAATTACTTATGATCTATACATGTCACTTTGAATGTTAGGTTTTCCTAATTTATATTCTACTTGGAACCTCCAACATAGAATGTATATCTAACATGCAACCCGTCTAAACATTCGGATCAAATCTGAACAGAAGAGACTCATTATGCTTTATGAAAACCCTTTGAAAAACCATACAACCCTTAAGACGTGATGTTCATCCTAAGTGAAATTACAATTATTAATCGCAAAAAGCCAGCGTCAATTTCAGGGAAACTTCTGATCAAAATTGCATCAAATTACTTTTCTAAATATCCTAATGGTGATCAGGCATTAAGACAGTTAAATAGTTTTAATCATGGTGATCAATAATTCAAAGTGTGCATGCAATCAATCATAAGCAATTAAATAAAAATCATATGTTCATGCTAAGACTTAAGGCTTAAGGCTTCGCCCTAGCAAAATGGATTAGTTACGCATATTCATAATTGAAATCATATAAAATATTATTAAGAAAATGATTGAAAACACTTTAAAGTAGAAAATCTCCAAGAACCCGAGCAATTATCTTTGTCTCCAAAGTTGCATAAAGAAAAGCGTAACCTCAGACTAACAATGGCAAAGCAATATATTTGCTAAGCCATCGCATTATATCTATTCTAAAACTAGGGAGGGATTGACTGTTCATTGGGCTACAGTCAATTGTTTGCCCCTCGATTTCATCTTATTTACACAAAAACCATGAGCATTGGGCTGGGTTTGAAGGATATTATTTGAACTGATAAGGGTGATTTTGTCCGGATGGTTTAGGACGAATTACCCCTTGATTTCATCTTATTTGCAAGAAACCCATTATTTGTGGACTAGGTTGGAAGGGCAATTTTGTCCTCTGGGTTTTGAGTGAATTAAAGGGTTGCCGTGTAAGGCTTCCACTTACTGTCTTTCATTTATTGTTTCGGGGAAATGAAGCTCCGACAGAGAGCGGAAGAACGGAGAGACAGAGAGACAGACAGAGAGAGAAAGAGAGAAAGAGAGAGAGAGAGACAGAGAGAGAGAGAGATTTCGAGGGGAAGACAGCGCAGGGAGAGTGGGTGATATCAGAAGTGGGAAAGTGGGTGATATCTTCTCGGTTTTGACTGAGTTCGAGAGTTGTTGTGTGCTGTCCTTCGATGAGGGTTTCGGGGGGATGGAGATTGTGACAGAGAGCGGAGAAATTAAGCTCTCACAGAGAGCGGAAGAAACGGAGAGACAGAGAGACAGACAGAGAGAGAAAGAGAGAGACAGAGACAGAGAGAGAGAGATGCCGAGGGGAAGACAGCAGGGAGAGGTATGGCTGTTGTCTGCAATTTCATTTGCTGTCCTTCAAGGAGGGTTTCGGGGGATGGACTGTGACAGAGAGCGGAAGAGAGAGAGAGAGAGAGAGAGAGAGAGAGAGAGAGAGAGAGAGAGAGAGAGATGACGATGGAAAGAAAACGAAGAGGAAAGGGGAAGCTACATGCCTGAATTTCGAAAGCCAAGTGCTTTTAAAATTTTTTTTTTTTCCTATCAGCTTAGATCTGGTTTTTTGTTGTGGATTATTTTCGAATTTTTTAGTGTGTTAGGTCAGATTTTAGTGGAATAATCAGAGATATTTATTTCTTGCATATATATCTGCTTGCAGGTTCGGTTTGTCATTTTGATTTCGTACTCAAATATTTATATTTTATTATTACTTGCATTTATATCTGCTTGCATGTTGTGATTGAGAGGCCAGAATTACTTTACAAATCTTTCTGCACTGTTTGGTTGGTTAGGTAGCATGCTTTTGTCTTTTTTTTAATCGATTTGGGGATT